TTTCCCTTTCTTACACATAAGGAGCTGAAGATAGCAGTTTCTAGATTTTTATATAAACATTTTAAAGAAAAGTATCCCATGGAAACCAGTGTTTTCAAAAATTCAAGGGCACCCTTAAAGTACCCCAAAATTATTTTACATATTTTTTCATTCTATCCTTTTTTCTTAAGTACCAACAGTCAAAATGAATTATGAATTATTTCTTATATTAATTACTGTTTTCTGCTTTTCCTTAACTTTTTAAAAAAGAACTATTTCCAGAAGGACAGTTATTTTGTACTTTGTGAGAAAATTTTTCAGGTATTTATATTGTTTTATGTGTCATAGGAAGGAAAATCCCCTCGGCAGTGTCTGAAGGAAGGAAACTGCAAAGCTTTGAAATACTCATTTTTTGAGTGTAAAAGATCAGTGGTAAGTAGCTAAAGATTTTTTAAAGCTTATGATAAAAATTAGCTCTGTGGAGTTAAATATGTGAGTGACTTAGTAATTATAAATAGGTTGCAGTGATATCACTTGGAAAAATGGATGTATTTTTTTCTTACCCAGTGAATTAATGTGAGGTAGCATTCATGCAAACCCGCAGCTGATTGTTCCGTTATTGCTGTTAAGCTAACCACAGCAGCTAAACTTCATGAATTTTTGAAAGAGAGTTCAGTCTTGGCAAGTGTAGATGGGGCACAGTTGATGTTGGTCACTGTGTATTTGGGTCATTTGGCAGCTACACACAGACCCATAATGTGGGGTTTATGGTGCGTGCACTGTGCCTTACATGTTGGTGTGATTAGGAGAAGATGTTGGTGTCTGTGTTTGAATTTGTAGAGTGAGGGATTGTGGAAAGACAGCCTAAGGGGACATTACAAATCTCATGGTTTCTACTGTAGTGTTCTTTGATTCCAAAGATCTACAAAGATCTTTGGAATAGAAACCAGGAGCCTTCTTTTTGTGAAAAGAAAATACGAAATCAGAAAAATGGACATCCCTCTAAAGACAGCAGTAACTTGGACTTGAACCTGCTTTTGTTTGTTGAGGGACAGCACTCAGATCCCTTCCCTTTTGTTGATAGGAGAAGCAGAGAGTACCGGATATTATGATCTGGGAGGCCAGACAAGAACTTGAGCATGTTTGCTAACTAACCAGATTCAGGGAGGTGTAAGGTTAGATTAAATTCAGCCATATGCTCTCTTTCTTTTCTCAAGTGACACAGTTCTTTGCCATATTTTCCTGTCATTTAGTGTAAGAAAAGAGGATTTTCTTGCCTTCTCTCACATAGTTCTGTTACCCGTGTAAGATGCAAGCCTTTAGATCTTTCAAGAATGTCAGATCATGTTTAAATAATTGAGAAGTTATAAAGAACAGTTACTGTAAGAGGTGATGAGTTGTCCTTTTTAATTGTAATGATTGAATTTGTAATAAACTCCCTGTAATTCCTGGCCTGAACGTCAGTCTTTGATTTCCAAAGAACTTTAAGAAATCAGAACATGTAAAAATTTTCCACAACTTAATCTACCTTCTGCAGAAATTTGGAACCATCTTGAATAAAAAGTAAACGTGCTTCTGACCATTTCAAATATCAGTACAAGGCAGAGCTTCACTCATACTTTTGGACTCCAGAAAGAGCAGTATAGGGAACTTTTTAGCAGACTTAGAGATTCTTGCAGCCTTTCTTTAAGACTGTGACTCACTGTTAGTCCTCCAGCATAGTGGAGTTGCCTCACACTTAACTAATGTAACTTATGCACTCTTGGCAAAAACCTGAAACAAAATAATTTAAATTGTGCTGGTAATTTTGCTTAATATTTCAAACAGTGAGTGTATGACCCAGAGTGAGGGTGAGATGGTGAGTTTTAATCAGCTGTTCCCTCTTAATATAAGCTTCTCATCATCGTGATCATGATTCCCATGTTTGAAGATTATTTATTTTTTGAAAATGTGGCTCTTAGCTACTTTATCTAGTGCTCAGATGAAGAAATAGCAGTCTGTCCCACACTGGCTGTGTTGTCCTCATTAATAGGGTTTAACTCTAAAATAATTCCTTCCTATGGAATTTCTAGGGAGTGGTATTGACTGTCTATGCAATTTTGCCTTCTCTACTGACTAGGACCCTTCACACTACCACACCACCCTTAAGAAGTGGCTGCACTGTGAGGCTTAAGTGAAAGAACATAGAATTGACCTATGAGTAGTAATTTAAGGACTTTTAATACTAAAGTGTCAGTAACATTGTTCAAGGCTCTTTCCTCTTTTCAGTTACTATTTAAAGATTTAAAAAACACTTGAATATTAACCCAAACAAAACCTAATTAGAAAGTCAAGTTTGTTTGAAGAACAACATACATTGAGTGTACTTCAGAGAAAAAGATAAATGAAATTTGGACTCGAAGAAAATCCTTATTGTGACCTTAAATGGAACTTTCGTTTTTAACGCCATATCCCCCCCCCCCCCCCGCCCCCCCTTCCGACACAGAGACTGGCCACAGGGAAGACGTGGTCACCTAAAATCAGAAGCACGTGCCCCCCGCCGCCCGCCGCTTGGGAGCTGTGACCATTGCCTTTTTGAGGGTGCTGGAAACTGGTTTACTTCTCTCATATAGTGACACCCGTTACCAAATCTGTGTTTAATTATGGTGTCCAGAATATTATTTAATTGTATATTTATTTTCAGTTGGATGCCAGATCAAGATTCAGGGGAAGAAAAGGATATTGATACTACTATGTTGAAACCAAGATGAAAACAACAAAGGATTTTCTCTGTCATTAAAAGAGAGAAGCCAAAATAAGAAACATACTTTTTGTTACATCTGTTCGGTTGGAGCAGTTTCTTCCTCCATGGAACACTGAAGAAAATGGATGAGTATGTATAAAGTAAATGCTTCTCTTGCTCTAAGTTATTTTTAGAAGAAAAATTTCATTGAATAGTTATGAGCTAAGAACATACTAGATGTGTTTTAAGAATTGTTCTGAAGCACAGAGAATGGAAAGATTGTTACTTTCAAACTTGACTTCTCAACCAAATGACACAGTTTGTACATCCTTCGTGAATATTGTGAAGGCCACTAACAGGACTGTTAAAATCAACATGGTGCCTGGTGAGAAAATGTCTATCTTGAAAGTGTAGGATAAAACTTTCTTTTATTCAGTCTTTACCATTTAGTTCTAAAATAAATTGTGTTTGATTCCTTGGAGAAGAAATGCTTCCCTTGCACTGAATCACTGAAGTAACAACCTCAGAACATTAATATCACTCATTAGGCATAGCTGGATCCAAAGCCTGGGATTATGCTGCCAGGGCTCCTTGCCTCCATCTCTTGACTGTTTTTCTCTGTTTCCTGACCTCGTTTTTAGGCTGGCCCTCTCTACATAATGGGAAAGAGGCCAGTGTCCATCAAAAGCACACATCCTTAAGGTCTGTGACCCAAAAAGAAGAGAGATAACCTCCTTTTCTAGGGTCCACTAATCAGACCCTACAAAAGGACTCTTCTGTGGAACACCTGCCCCTGAATTAGACCTGTAGTCCCTGTGGAAAAAGGGATGGGACCCCATGATCTTGGCCAGGCCTGGGTCTTACGCACTGTATTTGGTAACTCATGTCAGAATCTCACTGAATGAATGCTGGGCTTTATCCTAAAAGGAAAGAAGGATTCAGAGCCAGTAGGTATTGACTATAGAAGGCAAGACTGAAAACCATGAAATGCTTGTAAAAGTTTAGAATCATGTAATTTTATTCCAATCACATAATACAGTAGAGCCAGATGTGAATCCAAGTTTCCAGTTTTTTTTTCAGTATTGAAGAATAATGGAAGGAGCCATAGCTTCTTCATAGACCTGCAGTTCACTGGAGTTAAAGCAATCAAGGTATTCTGTAGCTCATTTGCTTTCTTAGAGGTTCACCTAAAGTTGGGAGAATTCCACATCAGCACTGATCCTTGTTGCAGAAATTCACTGAGGTCTGTTGTGTATACTATTCACTGGGAAAGGGAAACGGGTAGATTTTTTCAATACCTCTTGTATACCTGTTTAAGTGCTACAACTTTTATTAAGAGTTAAGTTTGATAAGAAACTCAAATTATTTTATAGAACCCTATCTTTTTCTTAGTCACAGCTTTACTGAGAGCTTCATTGGAAGAAATTCAAATACCATAAAATTTACTCTTAAAGTATACAATTTCAGTGTGTGTTTTTTTTTTTAATAGTCACGGTCATGAAGCCCAGTCATGAAGCCATCACCACTGTCTAATTCCAGGGCATTTACATCACCCCAAAGAGAAGCCCCATCTCCATTAGCAGTTACTCCCTCCTCCCCTCCCACCCCCCCACCCCCAGCCCTTGGCAACAACTCATACATTTTCTGTGTCTATAGATTTGCTTATTCTGGACATTTCATAAACATAGAAATATGTAATATGTGGCCTTTTGTGACTGGCTTCTTTCACCATGTTTTCAAGTTTCATCTATATGTAGCATCTATCTGTACTTCATTGCTTTTTATTGCTGAATAATATACCATAGTATAGATATACCACATTTTTTTAATCCATTCATCAGTTGAGGAAATTTTGGGTTATTTGCACTTTGGGGCTATTATGACTAATGATATGAACATTTATTAATGAGTTTTATCTGGACATGTTTCATTTCTTTGGGTTATATACCTAAGAGCGGTATTACTGTGTCGTATGATAACTCCAACTTTAACTGATAAACTGCCAAACTTTTCCACAGTGGCTACATCATTTTACATTCTCATCAGTAATGTATGAGGATTTTAATTTCTCCATATCACCAATAGTTGTTATTTTTCACCTTTTGGGTTTTTTTATTATAACTTCTTAAAAATTTTATTTTTTAAAATTTTTACTAGAGTATAGTTGATTTACAATGTTCTGTTAGTTTCAGGTGTACAGCAAAGTGAATCAGTTATACATAAACATATACTCACTCTTTTTTAGATTCTTTTCCCATATAGGCCATTACAGAGTATTGAGTAGAGTTTCCTGTGCTCTACAGTAGGTCCTTCTTAGTTATCTATTTTATATATAGTAGTGGGTATATGTCTATCCCTATCTCCCAATTTACCCCTGCTCCCTCCCTTACCCCCTGGTAACCATAAGCTTGTTTTCTACATCTGTAACTTTATTTCTGTTTTGTACGTATCATATGATATTTGTCTTTCTCTGTCTGACCTACTTCACTCAGTATGACAGTCTCTAGGATCATCCATCTTGCTGCAGACGGCATTATTTCATTATCTTTTATGGCTGAGTAATATTCCATTGTATATATGTACCACACCTTCTTTATCCATTCCTCTGTTGATGGACACTTAGGTTGCTTCCATGTCCTGGCTATTGTAAATAATGCTGTAACGAATATTGGGGTGCTTGTATCTTTTTGTTTGTTTATTTATTTATGGCTGTGTTGCTTCTTCGTTGCTGTGCACAGGCTTTCTCTAGTTGTGGAGAGCAGGGGCTACTTTTCGTTGTGGTGTGCGGGCTTCTCACTGCAGTGGCTTCTCTTGTTGCGGAGCAGGGCTCTAGGCATGTGGGCTTCAGTAGTTGTGGCTCTAGAGTGAAGACTCAGTAGCTGTGGTGCACGGGCTTAGTTGTTCCACATCATGTGGGATCTTCCCAGACCATGGCTCAAACCCGTGTCCCCTGCATTGGCAGGCGGATTCTTAACCATTGGGAGGTCCCCATGTATCTTTTTGAATTATGGTTTTCTCCAGATATATGCCCAGGAGTGGGATTGCTGGATCATATAGTAGCTCTATTTTTAATTTTTTAAAATTAAAAATACTGTTCTCCATAGTGGCTGTACCAATTTACCTTCCCACCAACAGTGTAGGGGGGTTCCCCTTTCTCCATAGCCTCTCCAGCATTTCTCGTTTGTAGATTTTTTGATGATGGCCATTCTGACTGGTGTCAGGTGATACCTCATTGTAGTTTTGATTTGCATTTCTCTAATAATTAGCGATGTTGAGCATCTTTTCATGTGATTTTTAGCCATCTGTATGTCTTCTTTGGAGAAATGTCTATTTAGATCTTCTGCCTATTTTTGGATTGAGTTGTTTGTTTTTTTGTTATTGAGCTGCATGAGCTGTTTGTATATTTTGGAGATTAATCCCTTGTCAGTTGCTTCATTTGCAAATATTTTCTCCCATTTTGAAGACTGTCTTTTTGTTTTGTTTATGGTTTCCTTCGCTGTGCAAAAGCTTTTAAGTTTCATTAGGTCCCATTTGTTTGTTTTTTATTTTCATTACTCGAGGAGGTGGATCAAGAAAGATCTTGCTGTGATTTATGTCAAAGAGTGTTCTGCCTATGTTTTCCTCTAAGAGTTTTACAAGGTCTTTAATCCATTTTGAGTTTATTTTTGTGTATGGTGTTAGGGAGTGTTTTAATTTCATTCATTTACATGTAGCTGTCCAGTTTTCCCAGCACCACTTATTGAAGAGACTGTTTTTTCTCCATTGTGTATTCTTGCCTCCTTTGTCATAGATTAGGTAACCACAGGTGTGTGGGTTTATCTCTGGGCTTTCTGTCCTGTTCCATTGATCAGTATTTCTGTTTTTGTGCCAGTACTGTACTGTTTTGATGACTGTAGCTTTGTAGTATACACTGAAGTCAGGGAGCCTGATTGCTCCAGCTCAGTTTTTCTTTCTCAAGATTGCTTTGGCTACTTGGGGTCTTTTGTGTTTCCTTACAAATTGTAAAATTTCTTGTTCTAATTCGGTGAAAAATGCCTTTGGTAATTTGATAGGGATTGCATTGAATCTGTGGATTGCTTTGGGTAGTATATTCATTTTCACAATATTGATGCTTCCAATCCAAGAACATGGTATGTCTGTCCATCTGTTTGTGTCATCTTCGATTTCTTTCATCAGTATCTTATAGTTTTCTGAGTACAGGTCTTTTGCCTCCTTAAGTAGGTTTAGCCCTAAGTTATTTTATTCTTTTTGATGAGGTGGTAAATGGGATTGTTTTCTTGATTTCTCTTTCTGATATTTTGTTGTTAATATATAGAAATGCAAGAGATTTCTGTGTATTAATTTTGTATCCTGCAACTTTACCAAATTCATTGATGAGCTTTAGTAGTTTTCTGGTAGCATCTTTAGGATTTTCTACATATAGTATCATATCGTCTGCAAATAGTGACAGTTTTACTTCTTCTTTTCCAATTTGGATTCCTTTTTCTTCTCTGATAGCCGTGGCTAGGACTTCCAAAACTATGTTGAATAAAAGTGGCAAGAGTGGACATCCTTGTCTTGTTCCTGATCTTAGAGGAAGTGCTTTCAGTTTTTCACCATTGAGAATGACGTTCGCTCTGGGTTTGTCATATATGGCCTTTATTATGTTGAGGTAGGTTCCCTCTATGCCCACTTTCTGGAGAGTTTTTATCATAAGTGGGAGTTGAATTTTGTCAAAAGCTTTTTCTGCATCTATTGAGGTGATCATAGGGTTTTTATTCTTCAATTTGTTGATGTGGTTTATCACACTGATTTGCAGATACTGAAAAATCCTTGCATCCCTGGATGAATCCCACTTGATCATGTTGTGTCATCCTTCGAATGTGTTGTTGGATTTGGTTTGCTAGTATTTTGTTGAGGATTTTTGCATCTTTGTTCATCAGTGATATTGGCCTGTAATTTTCTTTTTTTGTGATAGCTTTGTCTGGTTTTGGTATCAGGGTGATGTTGGCCTCGTAGAATGAGCTTGGGAGTGTTTCTTCCTCTGCAATTTTTTGGAAGAGTTTCAGAAGGGTAGGTGTTAACTCCTCTCTAAATGTTTACAAGAATTCACCTGTGAAGCCATCTAGTCCTGGACTTCTGTTTCTTGGAAGTTTTTTTGCGGTACGCGGGCCTCTCGCTGTCGCGGCCTCCCCCGCCGCAGAGCACAGGCTCCGGACACGCAGGCTCAGCGGCCATGGCTCACGGGCCCAGCCACTCCGTGGCATGTGGGATCTTCCCAGACTGGGGCGCGAACCCGCGTCCCCTGCATTCGCAGGCGGACTCTCAACCACTGCGCCACCAGGGAAGCCCTCTTGGAAGATTTTTAATCACAGTTTCAATTTCAGTACTTGTGATTAGTCTGTTCATATTTTCTATTTCTTCCAGGTTCAGTCTTGGAAGGTTGTACCTTTCTAAGAATTTGTCTATTTCTTCTAGATTGTCCATTCTATTGGTGTGTA